TTGCGCGCCAACTCAGCCTGATTCTTCGCTTCGACAATGCTGTCCAGCTGCAAGTCGGTGCTTTTGCCGCTGATGAAGGCTAGCAATTGTTTGGAGCCACTGGATTTCAGCACAGGTGCAGTGATTGAAACCAAAGATTTCCGCAACATTGCCAGTAGGCGAGTCTCTGCAGTTTCGCAAAACACATCAAAGCTGGGCAACTTCTTGAGAAAATCACCTGGCTTTTGGACCACTGAGATCAGCGCTGCAAGGTTGTCATCGGAACTGACGACTTCCAACGCATTGCCATCAAGCAGGGTCTTGTAGGTCAACGCGATGATTTGCCCTAGGTTCCCAATCTCGTCGGCCTTTGCTTTTAAACTCTGCATTTTTTCTTCCTCCACCAAGTTCTTCAGGAACTCCTGGGGCTGCTCTCGTGCGGTTTGCATCGAACGTGCCAGATTGCCGAACCCCAGAAGCGCTTCCGCACTGAAGTCCTTGCCATGCTTGATGCCGCTGTTGACCTCGCCCACTTCCTTCACAAAGCAGGAAAGGCATGCCTCCCAACACTTGGTCCACTCCGCCACCATTTGCGCCTCGATCTTGGCAGCAAAATCCTGAAAGGGAAATTGACAATGCCATGTCATGTCACAAAGCTGCAACCATTCCAGAATGGTGTGAGTTTCAGGTTGCCATAGAAATAGCAAAACGGTGCCCCATTAATATACCATTAATTTTACTTATATTATATGTTGTAATATACTATATATATAGAATATACAAAAAATGTCTATGTCGACTGAACGTCCCACAAAGGTCCTCGATGTCCTTCAGCACGGGCGAAAGCTCCGCACGATGCACATCCATGAAGGTAGAGCTGGCTGTGGATTTGACCTGCCGGCGCTTGCAAGAACGGCGTTCACATAAGTGATGTTAGATGTTGGTATATATTCAATTTAACTTGTCAGCCCTTGGGTACCACTCGACGTTGCACAAGCTCAAACATTGAATGTGATCGTATTTTGATGCGACAATGAAATGAACTGAAATGAATCAAGGAATAACTTGATGGTGATATCTTGGGCTGACTATTTTTTTGAAGTACCTGATGCCTGCCCCCACCGCACAGTGGGCCTCTACGCACTGCATGAACAGATTCCGGAGCGGCGGCGCAGCTTCAACCAGCGCAGTCAAGGAAGAGTTTCCGTCTTGGCCCAGGTTCCTTTCTGCTGATATGATTGATTGGAGCTTTGCCTCCAGCTCCTTGTCTTTGTGTCTGGCAGTCACGGCTTTGGATGCGCCCTCAAAATCAAAAGCCCTGTAGGAAAATTGGCCATGACTTTGTGAAGCTTCAGCTGCTTGTCGTCCTGAAATTTGGCCAAGTTCTCTTCCAGCACTTCGATGGTCACATCCTTGCTCATAGGCGTAAGGAGGCTTCAAGAGAATCAGTTCCGATCGCATTGGAGATGCTGCGGGCAACGCGTTGTCTGAGTCCAATGCCACCTTCACGAGCTGTTCAATTTCCTTCACCTTGTCATCCTCCCGCAAGAAAGATACACACAACCTCCGCTTTGCTTGAACAACTTCAAAAGAACGGGTGTCAGCGAAAAGCTACAGGAGGGATCTAAGTCTGGTAAAGAAAAGCGAAACACCTACTGCCTACGTATCCACATCAACAATAGAATAATAGAGTACCTTTTTCTGTAGTAATATATTATATTTATAATTTTTAGTATATTTATAGCTTATATAGTTTTTATATGTTGTATAATCTATAATCAGTAAGAATAGAGTGCCTCGATCGACTTGCCATACCATGGATTCCAAACGCGCAGTCTTTGCCTGGGATCTCCGCCCGTACCACCGACCGCTAATAAAGGAACTAAGTAGGCTATAGGCCATAGATGGCCCCAGGCGACGTTCAAAAATTGCTACGCTATTCCCAGCGACCTTGTCACTTCTCGTTCTTGGAATTTCTGGCGTGTATCTGCAGATGGCAATACCGTCAGGTTGAACTTGCTCTGCTCATCACCCAAAAGCTGCATGATCCTTGAGTAGTTCTTGCTCGTGACAGCGGAGTCAACCTGACGGCTTGGCAAACATTGATGTTAAGTTAACGGTGCACTCGGGTGAGCACAGTTACCCCCCAACTAACTCCTAACTCAACAAACATTACATTGCACGCCCCCCCCTCGACTCCACGCTGTTCATTTTTCCAATACCTAACTAAACCATGGCTGGAAATCAGAACATGGGTGGGCTTCCAGAATCACCGCGGGAGAGAATGAAACAAAGCAAAAACCCACTAAGCTCAGCCCGGGTACTTCACGTTGTAGTGCCAGCTCAAAAAGCTTTGCAGGTGGACTGAAGTCCTTGCTGTTGCTGTCCTGCGCCCTCTTGACCAATTCTTCTCCCGGAATGCTGGAATCATGCAGAGCACTCACCAAATCCTCCATCGGCAGAAATCACCGAATCATGTTAAAATGGCGACTCCAGAAAAAGGCAAAACTCGGCAAAACAGTAGGAACTCTAGACAGCAGTAAAACCTAGACAGCCCAACAGGCGCTCCGACTCCTGCACACTGAGCAAAATACGTGAGTAGTTTCGAAGGCTTTCCAGGCATGTCATCCCAGGTGTTGTTGGCGAGGCTGGATCTGAAGGGTCATATCCCTGGCTGTAGAGGCTGCGCAGCGACGGCGTCAAGCGGGTCTTGACTTTCTCACACAGCGCAGTCAGAATCTTGGGCTTGACTACCTCCAAGCACTCATCACTCCCCAGGTTCTCCAGAGCCTGTTTGCACTCAAGAATGATGCGCTTTCCATTCTGGATCTCCTTCATTTGCTTCGTGAGTGGCTTGTCTCTACCGTTCTCATTCATTCTGGGTTTCGGCTTGGGCTTGCCTCGCGGCTTTGGTTTCGGTGTAGGACCTCCAGGTGACATCACATCAACAGGAGAGTCAAATGTCAAATGATGTCAAACGTCAATACTACAAATGAGGCGGCGTGGCCTATTGACCAACCAAGAGGACCAAGAGCTTCCCCCAAACCCACTTACTGGATTAGAGTTTACACGCTTCAACACGCCTGAATTGTTGTTGGAAACTGCCGGTGCAAAGTCCAGCAGGTCGTCAAAGTCATCCCTGTTGCGCTTGGAAGCAGAGGCCGCATCCAGCAACATGTGAGTCTCGCCATCTTTCTCGACCTTTATCAGGGAATCAGGCCTAGTTAAATTATCGGGATCAAGCTCATTCAAATTCGAGAAACAACCAGGGTTGGAATATGTTGCAATAAGGACACCTCGTCCCTTGATCTCCCTAAGTCTGTCTTTATATGTGTATTATACTAGTATATTAGTATATATAGTATATATTAACAATTGTGTATTTGCATGCTGCATGCTGCGTACTGTTACTGCATATTCTGCAGTTTTATCATCGAATACAATGTAAATCTTATATAACTTATATATTATATAGTTTAATCATCGTCGTGAGTCGTGGGAGGTGGTATTATATTTGCTGTCTCCTTATGTAGGACAGAGCTCAGTGAACTAAATGGTACCGGTCTTGCCTCCGCCACACCGACTGCCGACACTTTTTGCACATGCTTCCAAGTGTTCTCCACCTCGTTAGCGCCAACTGCCGTGCTTGTTGATGCAGCTTGCAGGACATTGGCACCATAAGCCCGCTTGAAATCAGTGACTTCATACGTGCCTGCGTCAATGCCCCGAATGCATATGCACACTGTATTGTGTAATCATAATCTCTAACACATGACAGCTGCGTTGTTTCAAGCAAAATGAATGCTGTTTACTGGTTACTGCTACCAAGCCGGAAAAATACTCACACAGAAGCATTCGCAAGCAAACCACGCCTGAAGGCTGCCCGTTTTTCGCGTCTCGAAGCACACCCGTGATCACAGAACCAGAAATTGTGATCTTTGTCAATTGCTCCGGCTTTGGGTCTGAACCTACCACCTCCTTGTAAATGGCAGTGGGCCAAAGCACGCCCAGCAAACGCCGAGCCTCAACTCCACACTCCTGGTTCATACTGATGGTGGACTCACGTTCCTCTTCCGGCATGCCTGAGTCGTCACCATCCTTGCAGGGCAGCGCAAATCATGAGTCATGACTAACGACCACTTCTGCTGTATAGGTTTTGGTCCTATTGGTTGTGAGCATCAGTAGCGTGATCGCCGTTTGTCGCCTTCTTACTTACAAGATGCTATGCAGCAATTGCAAAAAGTTTAAAATGTTTTATCATGACAGTGCCTTCTGTTGCGAACCGGAGGTGCGCCGCTTCTTTGACGGGTTCGATTTGATGGACTCCTCATAGGCCTCAAGGTCAGACATGTGCAGCAGGTAGCTCTCGTCGTCCTCAGCAAGCTTCTTGGCATAGGCAGCTTTTGCGTCGCTGGCGCTCAAGTCTGGGTTGCACCGACGAAGCTTCCCACAGCAAGGAAGACACTCTGCATGCCTCTCAGACTTGAACTGCAGTAGAGGTTTCTCATCCCGCATAGCAGTCATAAGGTTTGCACAGCTCCTGTCACGTCGACAATATCGACACCCCTTGAAGCTAGCTGTTCCCCACAATGAGCTTTGCGACGCATGGGAAGGCAAGGACAAATTTGTCCCAGCTTCCGACTTTACCGGCATTGCGAACAAAGCACGAACTTCACCTGAAAGCAAAAACAAAGGAGCTTTGATCTGCAGGCTGTAGCAGCGGTCATCAAATGTGGGCAGCAAGTAAACTTAGCTGTGAAAGTGCGGAAACATGACATTGATGAGCATTCTGCTGTGAAGTTGCTTCACTGAAGCTACTTATATACTTACTTGCTTACTTGCAGCACTCCGTGACTCATTGACTCATTGAGTCAGCAATCTGAATCACGCTACCCCACACACTCACCACCACAAGGCAACACAGTCAGCGAAAGCAAAAAACACATTTTTGTGCAAACCCTTCCGGACATTAGAGTGCGGCTCCGACCTACAGCCTATAGCGGCCAGAGGGTGAAAGTCGACTAGTCCCACTCACATAGATCATCTATGGTTCGCAATCTCTTGGAAGGCTTCATGCCAGGATTCTGAATCTTGGCCTTTCTCTTCCTGATCGCGCAAGGCTTCCTTTTGACTGCACCGCTGCTTTGACCAGGAACATGATAGCGCAGCAGTGCGCTTGGAAGGCGTTCCCACCCAAAGATCTCAATAGGGAATCGTCGAAGTCATCCAATCGATGTTGGCTTTTGCCATAGTGGATCCCTTGCAGCGGCAAAGTCTCATACCCAAGAAGGCACCGTGCTTGGTGAGTCACCAACTGTTGACCATTGGGCGTGACAATGTCAGCATGATTGTTCTTGACGATCTTCTCCTTGCCTCCACGTAGGTTTTGGGAGAGCTCCACACAGGCGACACGATGGTCCGGAAACTTGATTCGCAAAACTGAACAGAGGTCAAATTGCCTCTCTGTGAGGGCATGCAAGCCGGGATGTGCAAGGAATACACCGTCCTGAGGAAAGGAAGGCTCCCACCAATCGCGGCCGGCAGCCTCCATAGCTTTACGATGCTGTTCTGCCCACTTGGAAGGCTTGAAGCTCTTGGTTGCCTTCGAACTCCGTGCATTTACTCTTCCCCTGGCTTCTTTGGCAAGCTGAATCTGCTCCTGAACAAGTTCGTGTTCATAAGGCAGGAGGAAATCTTTCAGATCCCTCATGTTCTCAGCGTTCTCAGGCTGGCAAAGCCTGTCCACCAATTCATGGGCCATGTGTGCGACCTCCTGCTCGCTGACCCCTGCTTCAGCCGCCATCCATTGTGGCAAGCATACCATCCAAACCCGCTGTCGTGACACGGGAATCCCAAACAATCGTGGATCCAGGATGAATGGAATCATGAAGAGGCCAGCGTTGTGCGTTGCCAAACTGCAGTAGTCGAGGTTGGAGTGCCACGGTTGTCCAGTTTCTTCATTCACTCCCTTTGGTGCAGTAAGCAATCCAAGCACATTTTCCATAAGCAGTCCTTTCAAACAGCCCTTGTAGCGTGAGTCATTGAGCACGTTCTTGCAATACTGAGCAACATGACCAAACACAGATCCTGTTCGGCGCCCACTGTCTCGAACTACCCACCGTGCATCCTCAGCTGCTGGATTCAGCTTGCTGACGGGAAACCCACCATCAAGTCAGTGCAAACGGGTACACCGTTGAGCTGGCTGTTTGTGACCATGTTGTGCACGGATTCCTCTTCCCCACAAGTCAGATCGATGGTGTTCCTGAGCAGCACATCCAGGTCACCTCGATCCTCGGTGTCCCTGAACATTTTCAGAAGAAATTGTTGTTTCTTCTCATCGGATTCACACGAGAAGCGGTGGTAAACTTCAGGCATGCGCTTGGCAGCAAATTTGTGCCAGGCTCGGGAAAATGCCTTCACCACTAGCACCGCGACATCTGTACCGCTGCATGCGGTCCCTATCTCAAAGTCTTCAACACCGGACATCAGCATATCAGCCTTTGTCCCATCATCTAGACGGCGCAAAGCTTCCAAAATAAATTCTGCCAACTGCTCGTCCCCGTTCTTCACAAACGAAGCGCTCTTCTGAGAGTAGGGTTTGTTTGAGGCTGCACAATTTGGCCTGGGCACATAGGCTTTCACATATTCCAGCGCTGGGTCTTCAGCAACTGGCCCTGAAGTTTCCTCAGCAGTGTCCTTTGCGGGCTCTGAAGGAGCTTTATGACCATCATGGGGACCTGAACCTGAAGTTTCATCCTGCCTGTCAGGGGCAGGCAGGCTGTTCTCATCTGAGCCTGAGCTGGGAGACGGAGTGTTGAAGATCTTGCTGTGAGCAGGCGAGACTGGCTCCGACTTCACAGTGCTCAATCGACTTCCGGTCGATGCCGATGGCTCTGATTTGATGGCAGGCACCTGTGGCAGAACAGGGTTCACAAATCAAATCAATATATCGACAAACAGAACAATGACAGAGGAAGTAGACTTGACTCGACAATGAAACTGACTAACAGGGTGTCGGGTCAGTCAATTGGTCGATTGAACTTGCGCGCTTGCGTTTGTGCCTCGTTTCTTCCAGCGGGAAGACCAGACTCTTGACCACTGCAGCTAGCAGCTGGCTTCTTCCGCGCTCTTTTGGGGGCCATTGCCCACAGGGTGTGGACTACACAAGCACAAAAGGTCACAATTGGACCCGTTTGGGCCTTTGGATCGAACAAAAAGCACAAGATGTTTTCTGAGCAAACAAACCACAACTAGCAGTGGGGGCCTTGGCCCATGGCCCATGGCCATAGCCTAGGCCTCCACCATGATCTGAAATGTGACAGTCTAGAGTCTAAAGTTTAAGTCATGTGTTACTCTGACTGTATTGAGCCCCAGGCCACAGGCTGGGACAACCGCTGCCACCTGGCCCACATACTCTTGACTCAATGACTTGAAGTAGTGGTTACCGCTGGTTATCACTTGGAAAGAACAAACACGATATCTGGGCTAGTGGAAACTGAAAAAGGTAACTGTGGGAAAAGAGTGTGGAAACATCATTCCAAAAGAGGACACAGGTGTGGAAAGGACGCAGGGAAACATCTGTCCAACTTGCGAAAGCAACTCCCAAGTGTGGAAAACACGTGTGGAGACAGTGTTCCAAAGTCTGGGAAGAGTCTGTGGAGACAGTGTTCCAAAGTGTGAAAAAATGTGTGGATCACATCTATAGGGATCCCCAGTTGTTTGTGGAAAAACTGCAGGCACACCGGTCTTACAAACAATGGAAAACAATGAAAAAACCTAATGCCGTAAAGAAAACGTGCGATAACACAACTAATTAACATGGTTTCACATGGATTCCGAACCGTTTTCCGCAAGTTTTCCGCATCTTTTCCGCAGGTTTTCCGCAACTTTTCCGCAGGTTTTCCGCAACTTTTCCGCAGGTTTTCCG